TAGAAAGGGCCTAGAAAGGAAAATTCTAGATGGAATTTCATAAACAGGTCTTGAATGGGCATTGACGTGAGTGCCCCTAACAGAGCCTGCCATCGTTGGGCCTAGAAAGGGCCTAGAAAGGAAAATTCTAGATGGAATTTCCTAAACAGGCCTTGAATGGGCACTGACGTGAGTGCCTTTTACAAGGCTTGTCATTGTTGGGCCTAGAAAGAGCGATATATAGATATTCCAAAATAGGGTCTAGGGAGTCTTTGTTGCCGGCGGCGGGAGCCTTCGATCTGGTTCCCCTGTTAACGACAATTAAGACGATTTATTTTTGCGCCGGGTTTGCTCGGACGCTTCAACGGAACCCTCTCGACCCGTCGCTCTCCAGATTCGTACTGACTTTCGTCGCGCGAACTCGAACGGCTCGCGGTTTTGATTTTGGAAGCAATAACGCGATTCGCCGATAACATCGGCCCAGCAACGGGCGACGAATCAGGGGGTAACACACCAAGTACGACGAGGGCCTTTTTTCTGTGTCGAAAGACTCCCGTCGTCATCGGCACACTCGCACTCGACGTCGACATTGCTCGAAAGTCGAATCAACAAAGATTCGAAGCGAAGAAGTTTCTCGAGCGATCTCGACGACCGCACGAATTAACGCTCTAATTCCGAACATACCGCCCGCCTCGTATACGCCGGATACGAAATACAGCAAAAGACGTGGCGAGATTATTCTCTCTTAGTCGCAGCGCGAGCTAAGGAACGCAAAGGGCGACAGTGATTGACGCCAGCCGAATAAAGAACCTCAAATGACCCTGTAGGTAGGGACAAAAACACAATAAAGTAATTAACGCTAAATGTACAACACGTCTTAACTCGCTCTAGAAGTAGGGGCAAAATACAATCCATCGGTCGGTTTCGCTTGTTCCGCGAATAAGATAGCCGACGCGACCAAAGCCTAAAGTAATATAACGAACATAATTATATTGGAATTTCAATGAGTACAGTCGTTAACGTTTTACAAAGTATGTATATAATTAAACTTGACATATTGAACGTTTTATACGTGATACGTACAAACTAAACGCGCGATGCTGACAAGGATCGGCGCAAAGCAAAACAAAAGAAAACGAACAAGAAGGAGAAAGGGCGATCAGTCACTTTCTGACGTCGACGCTTTACAATTTATAGGCAACTTGTACAGTTGCGTTATAGGTCGCTTCAGTAGAGAACGCGCCGTGCGTATCGTAACC